TAGTTGTTTCTGAGGCATATTATTTTTTCACGGTGCCTAGGATAATCCGAACGTATAAAAAAAAACAAAAAAACAAGGTTTTTATAGCGCGAAATTGACAAGAACAAAGCTCTTGGAAGTGTCAAGCAACAGCGTAACTGCCTTTGCACTGCTGCCACACTTTTTGGCGTACCAAAGGATGTGCTTCTAAGGCGAGCCAAACGACTCGGTGAACGTGAAGAGCAGCGGCTCTATACAAGACGTCTGGACTACAGATGGAGCGTTCTTTCCGACGTTTCAAGAGCATTTCTTCTGTACTTAACGTAGGATAGAGAAAGAGTTCAAGCAGGTCGGAGAGCAGCGCTGTTTTAACGTCATGTCGCTCTCTCTCCCCCCCCCCCCCCCCCCAAAAAAAAAAAAATGAAGCTGATGTAGGCGAAACTAACAAAGAACCGGGTTTCACTACCCCCTTCCTTTCCCCTCTTCGCCCCCCCCCCCCCCCCCCTTCGCATGCAGTGCTCGGTGAAAGAAAAGTAAACGCACTGTACCAAAACTTTTTATATATAAAAGGCTGCGTAAGCTGCCGCAACCGCAATCTTTACCGAGAAACGCATGCGGGGAGCGCAACGTTCTTATCATTGTTCGCGCGCACCTTATCATCTATAATGTGGTTTTGACACTTGTTTTGGGGTTTTCTTATTGAAAGAAGTGTCAAAACCCCATGATAATAATAAGACGCGCGTGAACGATGATAAGGCGCGCGCGATGGTTTTTTGTCGACTACTGTTCTGTCGACGGACACGAGAAAAACCCGACCAACGAGTCATATGTAGCTTCGCCGTAGTTGATTTCTTACTCGACTTGAATATTTTCGAAACGCTCGAACTGCCGGATTGCCATTCGCTATCTGTGGAGAGCGCTTCATTTCGTCATTTTTGATATTACTACAAAATTTCCTCTGCTTGTCAAAGAACTGTCCGTCAGACATCTCGCTACGTAACACCTCGATGTTTCACGCACTATGGTAAACGATTTCTTGCATTTTACGTACCTTTCATTTACAATAAGCTTTCGGAAAATATTCTCACGGTTACAACAAAAAAAAAGTTTGAAATAAATGTTATCTAATATTAAATATAATTTACCTTGGATTTCTTTTTTTTTTTTGCGTTCTTATACATTATTTTGGTTGTATTTACCTGTATTTATTTTGGCTCCTGCTTTATTTTGCTCCATGTGGCTGTGCCAACTAACAAGCGAACAAAAAGTATGAATCGACGTTTTCTTCATTTCTTTTATGATTAACGATTCAGCGCTTGTGTGGACTTTCTTCACCAATGCGCATGTGTACTGACCTTGACAAACTCGTCCGTCTCCGACCGAACTACAACACAATTTTGGACTGCGTCATTTCTTTTTTTTTTTTTTTTTTTGCTGTGTTTGTGTATGTAGTTGTCTTCAAGCTGTTACAACTCTAGCCGCAACTATACTTCAACTTCTCCACTGCACTCCGGCGAGACATGGCCATCTGTCTGTGTGTGTGTGTGTGTGTGTGTGTGTGTGTGTGTGTGTGTGTGTGTGTGTGTGTGTGTGTGTGTGTGTGTGTGTGTGTGTGTGTGTGTGTGTGTGTGTGTGTGTGTGTGTGTGTGTGTGTGAGTGCGCGCGCGCGTGTGAGTTCGTGTGTCCAAACGTGCGTGTTTTTTGCATGCACGTGCTTCTAAGCTACCGTCTGTTCTGCTACCTTTGAATGCAGGGTCTCGTCCTACAAGTCCTTGCTGGATTTGACCAGTCCCGAAAACTGAACTTGCTGCACCTACGCTCGCCATCAAAGATTTTTATCATTAGTAGTAGCAGTAGTAGTAGTAGTAGTATTTGAAGCCTTGGGAATCGGATAATGTTCCAAACTTATTTTTAAAAAAATGCCACGTGAGGTTTTCTATATACCTAACGCTAACATTCAGTGCTTTATCACGAAGTTCCGGTTCTTCCGACCAGAGCTACGCTCTTGCCTGTCTTCGAAGCTAGTAATCATTCCCAAACAATTACAGACTAACATCGCTTACATCCAACAGTTTTACAAGTATGGGAACATGTGGTGTCAGAATCCTTATACCAAATACGACTGTTTCGAAACTAATGCGGAGTGCAAATTTGTCTGCTTCTTGCAGCGACGTCGGAACGGCGAGCTGTGATTGGCTCTGTTTGGAAGGGTTCCGGGTAGACCTCAATGCTAGCTGCCTTGAGGTCTACCCACTGTCCTTCCGATCGGAGCCAATCACAGCTCAGCGTTCTGACGTCACTGCAACCCCTGCGTTAAAAGCAGACGAACTTGCGCTGCGCGTAACCCTCCTTACAAAAAACAGCGTGAATTTCGACAAATAATTTTTAAAGAGGCGCCTCTAAGTGAACGGATATACGACCTTTTGTAACTTTACGGCTTCCGGGGGCACAAACGACATATTTAAAAAAATGCCAAAAATCATTCGCCCAGTTTCGCATAGTAGTCTAAATTGAGAATCCACGTGTGTCCAAGAACATCTGCTGTTCTGCGAAAACATACAGTAGGGTATCTGAAAAGAAATGTTAGAGTACAAATGCAAAAATATTGTTTTGTTTAAATTATTATACGATCAGTATTACAATATGCAAACGTGATATGGAACGCCCACCAGAAAAACAGCATTCAAAAATTTGAAAGGGTATAGAGAGACTCGGCGGCTTGTATCATGCTGTTTATAGATATAAACAAACGGACTCTGTCGCTTCCATGTTAAAACAACTTGATCTGCTAAAACACATTTTAATGCTGCATCACGTTCACTTCAACGTCCAAATGTTCTTTCTAAAATGATCCAACCTTTCCTAAGCGAAACTATCGTGTTTCATTGTTTGCTCTATCCCAAAACAATAGATGAGCGAAACTCTCTCCCCCAAGCGAATTCAAAATTTCCTGTAGAATTTCTGAAACTCTTGAAACTCGTGTATACCTAAATTTTATTTGTTACTAGAACTGAGTAAAATTAGCTGATATTTCATATATATATATATATAAAGTTACATGCCGAGCATTTGTCTGTTATGAATAGTGCCCTGTAGGCTGCAAGTGTTCGCGTTGTATGTTATTTCATATTAATGTACAATCAGCGCACTCTTGTAATAACTGAAAAGTGTTCGACCGTATTTGGAAACAAATAAATAGATAAACTGGCAGTGAATCGGCGTCGTCTGCTCCTCTTCTGACCACTAGATATATTGGTACCACTAGCTACCACTAGATATCTATGTAGTGCTGGACACCACTAGATATCTAGGTACTACCAGATATCTAGGTGCCATGATGTAGCACCAGATATATAGGTACCCCTGGACACCAACAGATATACAGGTACCACTAGATAGCACTCGACACTACTACCAGTAGACATATAGTATCTCGAGGTCTGGTAGTGATAGGCTGATATCTGGAAAACAAACGCATCACGAACGTGCCTTCGGTACGTACCTTTCGACGAGTACTCCCCCGGCTGCCGCTCCCACCAGGATAAAAAGTGACTGACTGAAGAACACCCACGACATGGTGGAAAACACGGTCTGAGTCTTGCATCCCAAGTCCAGCAGCGTGGGACCAAGGAAGGCGACGCACATGCCAAAACTCCAGAAGACGAAGCACAGCGTCACCGTGGTGTGCTTGTGACGCCAAAAGAGGTCCAGAAAGAACTCCCGCTTGGACATGGACGAAACGCCGTCGACGGCCGCAGCCGCGCCTGCCGCCGCTGGAACGGCTGGAACGCTCGTCGCCTCCATGACCTCGCGCCGTCGATGCGATGAAACTTGCCGAGAGCAATGTGTCAGATTTTTTTTACTCGCAACCTCCCCTCTCGCAAAATTTCGAGCAGCGCCAGCCGCCTGCTGCGTTCGCGTCTTTCTATAGCCGCATTGTTTGGGGAGGAACTAAATGGGTATTAATTCGGGTTTCTCGAGGTTCCGGGGGAAAAAAAGGGGGCCCTGTTTCCGAATCGTTCTTTTAGGCGGTGAACGGAATCGACCTTACGTATTTAGGGAACCGCGATCCCTAACGGAGAACGAGAGAGGGAAATGAAGGTGGGGGGGCAGAAAATTCGACGCACCGCCAAGCGGAGGAAAGAGACAAAACGTGGTGGCATCTGGCGGTAGCTCTGGACAACCTCGACCGCGTCGTCTGCTTCACCCCAGCGCGAGCGATCGTCTGCTTTGGCTGTAGAGAGACGGTGCTGGCGTTTATAACGGTCAGAACAGCTGGCGTTGTCGCTTCTCTTCAAACGTCACCGTCAAAATAACAACGTTGTTAGGTCGGTGCAAAAATAATGAGTGAGGGAACTAGGAAAAGACTCTGCTAGCGATACGAACGAACGATTGTCATGCTGCGTAGCTTGCGGTGTGACACAATCAATTCCGGTCTGACCCCGGAAATCCGTCCGTGTGTGTGTGCGTGTGTGTGTGTGTGTGTGTGTGTGTGTGCGTGCGTGTGTGTGTGTGTGCGTGCGTGTTTGCGTGTGTGTGCGTGTATATATGTGTGTGTGTTTACATTATGTCAAAATGCGGGTTAATTCCGGATACAATTGGGTGGGCTATCTGCAAAAGCGAGTTCTGATAACTGCGACCAGCGAAAACTTCAATCTGACCAATCTCTTTCAGGCAGCATATGTGTGGCGTACTTACGTCAGGAATCAGCTTTTAGCTCCTGCGCGATATAATGTACCGGCAATATCAAACGGCAAAGAACAAATAGTTTGAATGCGGAAGGGGAGACAGCGTTTGGGAAGGATCGACATGGAGAATGCGCAAAGTCAAACCAAGGGTTCTTGCGCATGTCCAGAGCCATGGATTTTATCACGCAGGTTTCAAACAATTGTTTTCGAAAATTTGTTTATTGACTCAAATCACAGCCATCACCCTGCTGCAAAAACTGGCAAAACAAACAAAAAAAGGAGGATGTTTTATGTCATAAAACATCTTGTCTTCATTGTTCAAATGCTCACAAACTCTGCTCTACCTGCAAGCGTAAAGAAGATTAATAAAAACAGATAAGCGAGCGAAGAGGTCTGGCAACCCGTTTGCAACAAGGAAGATGGTTCACTCCGCGTCGACAAACAGCACGTCCTCCACCTCCAAAAGCAACTTGCGTCTCTTCGGCCTTTCTTTAGGTAACACGTGAGCAGGACTTCCAGGTGGCTTTCTGGGGCATACGAAACCTCGAGGTGTTGCCGCCTGAAGACGAACGTCTCGACTAGCCTGGTTGATTCGTGCATCTGGCACCGGACTCGCTGTTATTAAAGCCTCGTGACTCGCTCTGGGTTTTGCGGCATCTTTGCCGGCTCCAGCCGGTTGCGCCGAACGGCTCTGGCCACCGGGACTACCGATCACACCTTCGGCGTTATCCCCAACCCCTGAAGGTGCTTCGAACGTAGGAAGGATCGCTTCCGCTTCGCCTTCGTCCTCGCTGATCTCGTGAACCTCGTGGTTGTCATTGGCGGCCCCGCGATGCACGTCGTTTCTCTGTTTAGTCGATGATGGCTGAAAACCCACGACGGGCGTTGAGTTTCCGTTTGCTACGCCTCGTTCGTCGGGACTGGAGCCGACGATGTCGTCGTCGTTGCTGGTCATCCTGGCCTTGAGGTCCGTCAGTTCTCGGTGAAGTGCGGCGTACTTCTGGCGGCAGACGTCGTGTCCGGAGGACTGGAGCTTGCGCAGCTTGCCTTCCATCTGCATCAGCTGCTCGTCCCGTTCGAGCTGAAGGGCGATGAGCTCGCATCTGTGCTGCTGTTCCATGGCCTGAAATATACCGTAAAGCGTTTCCGTTAAAATGAAAAGCTTGTACCCTATACTTCGTTACACTTTAAGCCTGACCGCAGTCACGATCCGACGGAGGAAATCAAGCCCAAAAGTGCCTCGTCACGGCGCTGGTTGTCTTCCGCGGTCGTACTTAAAGGGGTACTCCACGATTTGTTGAGCTACCCCAACTAACTATATTTTTCGGAATCAGAGCCCTTTACCCTTTCTGGTAGGCTGTTTAGTATCGCGAAATTCAGAATAGTCATTGTGAAATCGGGAAGTGAAAATTATGCCAAAACAATCATTCAAATATACCCGCGCTTTTCAGTGCCGTGCCGTTAGGGGAATGCCGGCTTGCAGGTCGAACGGGCAGTCTAAAAATGGACCATGCTGAGCATATATTTAGTGGCTGCTGCGCGGGTGCTTGAGTGGGCTTCCAAAGCATTCATCTGGCACCATGAAACTGCTTGTAATCAGTTAGGAACAAATTCTACAGTCCAAAGGGTGAACCACTGCCTACCGCTAACGTCAATTTTTTTTTTTTTTTTTTTTGCTGGTTTAGGTTTGTTTGTTTTGTTTTTTCCTTAAAAAACACGGTGATGACCAAAATAGTAAATTCAATAACTTCGCGAAGAAAAGATTAGGCCCAATATTTGGGTTTCAAAAGCAGTGGTGAGCTACGTGACATCCTGTGAACTGCCACATCGCATATTAGGACACCGCAGCTTGAGGCTCGCCGAGCCAAAGCCCGGGCTGCTGCAACCTGTGAATTATGAGAACGAGTGAAACCCCCTTCGGCTTTCGCATGTACGGGCAATGCATGGGCGTGATTTTGTGTGATCACTGTTCACTAACGAGTGATGCACGCCAAAGACCCGTGGTAAACACTGCGGCCGAATTAGCACTGGTAATGATCCCCCACACACCATAGTGGCCAGGCGAGGTTTCATATCTAGGGCCGTACTGGCCATGCGCTGTAAAAACATCGCAACAATAAATTTCTTAAAAATGTATTTTTTGTAATAAAGAAAAACTAGTTAAAAAAAGAAAACGAGAGAAAGCAAGAAAATCTAAATATTGCCCCGAGCGGCTGCGCGAGATGCTTCGCCACTCTACTCCAGGACGCTGCGGGATGCCAACTTTAGGACTTTCATCAGCACGACAAGCGACGACTTTGATTCAACGACGAAGCGACCTTCCTCGGTGGCTCTAGCAATCTACCTCGGTACCGGTTGTCAACAAACACGCTTTTTGTGACAAGTTGACCAGACTCAAGAGTAAAAACAAGGTTATTAACAGGACCTGTTTGCGAGCAGTCTGCTCGATGCTCTAGCGCGCACGATGCGGTAGACCAGTTGCAAAAATCACCAGGGGCCGCGCGTGAGGCGCGTAACGAATTATGGGAACGTTCTGTACGTGTCTACAAGGTCGCCTCGGTCATCTTCTACGGCCGCTTCTATGCAGCCAGTTCCCAGAATTCCTTCCGGCACCACGCCGGACGCTTTGCGTTTAATAACATGTATCTTAAGTGACTGTCACACAGCTAAAATATCATACACAAACTCTCCATAGACAAATTTCGAAGCGTACATATACTTATGAAGCATACATAAGTGTGACTGTCATTGATTTAGAAAACTTGACACGATCGAACGAAACATCACCTTCATCTTAGCTCGCTGCGCTTCGAGCTCTTTGAGCACCTCGTCCATTCTCTCCTCGTGAGCCCGGCGTTCAGACTCGAGCTTCTGGTTCGCCGCAGCCTCGCAAGCCGAAAGTTCCTCCGCGTTTGCCCTAACCAGCCGCTCCCATTCCCGTTGCTTCTCGTCCATCTTCTCGTCGCACTCCAGGACGTTGGCGCACATCGTGGCCCGAGCGTCGTCCAGGTCCTCTTTGAGGGCGTCGTACTGGACTCGCAGCTTCTTGAGCCTGTCCAGGACCAGGCAGTGGTTCGACAGCTGAGACTTGAGAGCGGCGTTCTCCTGGCGCAGCAGCTTCTCGTTGTCCTCGAAGAGCTTTTCGTGGAGTCGCAGTCGCTCCAGCTCCTCGTGGTGGCGCTGCCGCTCGAAGGTCAGCCGATTGAAGTCGTGTCTCCAGCGCCGAACGGCGTCTTTGACCTGCGAGCGGCTACAAGTTGCAACGGGGCCTGGGAAGGCTCAGCCCAGGCGAAAATCTGCCCACTTCCAGCTGGATTATGGAACTGGAAATAAGGCGGTTCAGTTGGAATCCAACTGGATCCACCTGGAATCCAGCTGGATCCACCTGGAATCCAGCTGGATCCAGTTGGAATCCAGCTGGACCGCCTCATTTCCAGTTCCATAATCCAGCTGGAAGTGGACTGATTTTCGTCTGGGCGAGTTACGGCGCGAGCTATTACGGCCAACCACAGTGCGTGAAATCGAGAGTAACCGCGCTACAGTCCCCGATAGAATAAGAACGGCAGGGCGGGTCTTTCGAACGCCCGTGCCGCTGGAACACTCGAGGTACATCAGATGCCCAAGGGTTGTCAAGAGCAGAAAGCTGGCGCTGGATGTGGCAAAAATGAAGCTCCTCCCTACCGCTCTCACCTTGTCGGTACCTGCACCTGTTGCACCGGTGCAGAAAACTGTAGGGCGGCGTACTTCCGGTCGTATCTCAATGCGCATACCGGAAGTATACATTGCCCTACAGTTTTGTGTAGCGGTGCAGGACGTGCAGGTAAGTCGAACGAAGCTAGTAACTGTACCAGTCCCTTGATTGAACGCGCAGTTATCCAACCGCCGCGCCTCTAGCGGCTAAGCTGAGAACTAAACCCATGGAGACAACGACGACATTAACTTTTTTTTTTTCTGTGTTTTCTGAGCTTCGCCCGAACTCCGCGTCAGACTTCGGCCGGGGCTCGTGTTCAGTCGGTGAGGCACCAATAGACTACTTGCAAAATCCCAGCATGCAACACTGCGCGCGCTGCCTTTTTGTACCTCTTTGGCCATGGAGAGGAGTGGAATGGTTGCGGTTAGTAATAGTAGAAGTAGTATACATCTTAGTGCTGCGTGAAAATAAAGTCACCCCCTCGCTTGGATTGCACCCATTGGTCTTCGTGAGGGCCACCGTCGAAACACGGAATTCCGGCGGCCGTAAGGAGCTGTCTAGGCTAGGCAAGGAGCAGGACTATGAGAGCCCCTAAAACAAACGTGCCCCAGCATGTTATCTGTGATGGTAGACAACACATACATTTTACTATAAGCTTAAGGAAAGCCACATATTCCAAAATGAAACCGCCGTATATTTGATCGTAATCGGATGTTGTGAAGTTGGCAAATCAAAACCTAAACTGAGGGCAAGGGGTTTCCAGGAAGATACTTTGCACGATACTACGTCAATAACTCGTCTTGTAGGAAGGAGACGCCAAACGAAATCATGCGCTCACGAAAGTCTTGCTAGCCTTGAAAACTGAGCACAAAATAATTGACACCCTCTGTTCGAAAGTTAGGCCTATAAAACATATATTTAAATTTTGTTTTTAAACAGCTTAGATAGAAAAATAATGTCACAAAACAAATTTACAATGAAGGAAAAAATTAGTTTGTAGAGCTATATTTACGGCGCGAAACGAATTTGTATTTGGCACCCGTGGGAAAGTGGCCGCTATGGTCACGTGACTGGCTGCTATGGTCACCTGGTGCTTGCGCTATTTCGGGAGCTCCCTACGGTCTCTAAAACTTAATTATCATTCTTTGTTTGAAGTGCAACCAAAAAACAAACATTAACAAGTAACTTTTACAGCTTAAAAGAAGCTCCCGAAAGTGTGCAAGAACCACGTGATAGACCTCCAGAGGGTTCCCTTCCGGCGAACGTTGCTTCCGGCGGCAGCGTTGCGCGTACATAGTCAAAAAGGAAGTTGGACAGTACATTAGGCAGTACATAGTCTAATGTACTGTCCAAATTTTTTTTTAGCTGCAATTTTGCGTATTTGCTGGAAAAAAAACAACAACAACAACAACAAAAAAAAAAAAAAAAAACAGTCACATCGAAACCGAAATTAGTGTGTGGGACTGCGACGTTGGGGTGTACGGGGGTTGCTTGAAGTCACTCCTTGATACACACGCTCAGATGTTTTCACAGCGATATTACACAGCGATAGTTGTTCGTGGGACACTTCGCGGTTTCGCGCCGTTGACCGCGCTCCATATGGACGCGGGCCATTTTCGGCACTCCGCCAAAACATTCCACGGGCCGCCCTGATAACAAGATAACGTGCATGATCATACGTAGTAGCAAGATAACATACATGGCCAGTAAAACAGTCCCCGCAGGTCAATCTGGCAGTGCACTGGGGTGAGTGCCCACGTGACCCAGAATTGGCTCAAAGAACAATTCTGGGGTTGATACGAAGCTAAAACTGCCTTGGAATTTCTGTGTCAGAAAGCAGGGTGAAAGCAAGTGCGTTAGTGCCCCGTTAATGCCCATGACAAATACAATCTTATCCTCTAAACGAATACCCAGAAAGATGGTAATAATAGTCTGTCTTTGTTTCCATAAACCTTCATTTGAGAACCCCCTCTTTGCTCGTCCCTGTTTATTCGGCGCTTTTTTGTTTAGCAGGTGTGACTATTTGTTTCGAAGTGACGCACGAAAACACTCTCCTTTCTTACGCAGACAGCTGAAATGCTCTCTACATAATACACCCTCATTGGTTCCAAAACGCAATGAAATTTTCGTCCGGTGTGTTAGTCGGTTTAATACGAAACGCCCGTGCGGACTCTATGGTGCGCGCCCGCACCTTTGCCGTTCATGCAGTCCATCTGCTCCGAAATGGCACCTTAGCGGCACCGACGTTACACCTCAGCTGTCGTTTTTTCTTTTTCTATTTCTTTTGTATTTCTTTTAATCAACGTACGTGTTTTGTGCATTCCAGTGGGGTATAACAAAATTTCTTTCGGAGATTTTATTTTTGAATGGGAATATCTGCCCTAGATTGCACAGAACTTCGAAAATAGTTCAAGTTTCAATTAAAAAAAAAACACGCAAATGGCTGTTTTCATGGGGGAAAAAATAGTATATATATGTGTGTGCGTGTGTGTGCGTGCGCGCGCGCGCGTGTGTGTGTGTGTGTGTGTGTGTGTGTGTGTGTGCTTTTTTATGTGGTTAGGAGTTTGTTTATTGTATTTCAGTACTTTTCTCTTAATATGCTGGACTAACCAAACAAGCATTGCCTTGTTTTTTTTTTTTGTTTGTTTTTTTAGCATTTAATCTGCAACTGAGAGAGCTGAATCTTTGTTTTTACCAGAGGAGCGCCAGTTCGTTCTTTCCACCCTGACAGAAACAGCAAAAATTACTATTCAACCAAAACTACGTAAAAGAAAATAATCATCTTGACTTTTTATCTTTTTATCTTTTATCCAGTAGTTTCATATTTCTACCAACATTTCTACATGTGCTTGCATAGTGTATTTAAGAAAGTTCCGTACACCACCCAATACGTTAGTGTAGCGCTGTGCTTCAGAACAAAGACTGACGCGGCCGTCAAACGCCCCAACAAAATTGTATGGGAGTTACTACGGTTGTACATGTGTTTACTTTCCCGGACAAAACCGCCCCACAAAGCTCTCCACTCGCCATGGAACAGCCTTCTTTTTGTATGGGTATGCAACTTGTGTAAATTATATTCGCAGCACGTCAATACGTCACGGTCTCAACGAACATATCATTTCCTACCGAAGCAACTTTGAACGGGAACGTTTTTCTCGATGCAATTTTAGGGTCAGGCACACGCAGAGACTCACCTCATCCAGGTCCATAGTCGTGGTCAACGAGAAATCACCGTTACTGATGTTGCACATCGCTTTTTCGTGTCATAAAACGAAGTTTACTGCCCAAAGAGTGGCAGTTTTACAGAACTCCGGCAAATTCTACTTAGCAGACGACATATTCAAACCTCAAATCAAACAAGTGGATAAATGAACATATTACTGCTCTTTAAATTGGGTGGGGCCTTGCGCCACCTAGCGAAGCGGTTGCCACCTCTGACGACAAACTATGGCCTCCAAGACCTCTTCTCCGGCCGTCCCATTCGTGCGGAGAGGGCGTAATCGGAAAAAGAGAAGGACGCGGCGTCTATCCGCGGGGAGGCGCTCCCAACCCAGTCATCGACAGCATGGCGCGAGGCGGAAGAGTTCAAGAAAAAGTATTGTTACGTCGAGCTACTGCAACTTCTACTTACACATTTTTGTGTATTGTGGTAGAACGGCGAACAGCTGCTCTGGGGACGTAGATAGACAATTTGTAATGCTTATTTACTTAATTGAGATATTCACCTGGACATGTTGCGGCTAGCGCTACAAGCGCGCATTTTGATATATTTGATGGCAGTCTGTAGCACGTATAAAATTCCAGAAAAGGATTAGCTCCGTGCATAAAAACTTCGGATTTCCCTAAATAAAAATATTCATGCTGAATTTTTTTTTTTTTTTCTCTTTTGAGCCTGAGCACGAGGTTTGATACTACTATATAGTGAAGTCCGTGTTGTCCTTCTTTTAATATTTTTAATATTTATTACGCAATTTTTGCGGGTCGCATTGCGGTGTTCGCTTCTACTAGAAGTACCTTTAAAAGGGGGGGGGGGGGGGGGGGGGGGGGGGGGGGGGAGGGGTGCAACGATTTCCGGACTTCGGCCAAAGATTTCTGGAAGTTGCCCTCTGACACTTCTGAAGTAAAGAACAGAAAACCGATTTCGCCTGCGTGTCCTAGTTGTTGCGTAAAAGAAAGATAACGATTGGCATTTCGGCCACCCCTCAACTCACTCCCAACCTTCAGGGTCACACCTGGTCCCCCTCCTAGTGACGTCATTCGGAGTGCTGTGTAGCTTCCCGTGTGCTTTCTCGGAGGACGCTTCCCCTCCCTCTCTCCGCTGACATTAGCGGGCGTTATGCTGCAGCTTAGAGCCGAGCGAGGTCACGTAATCTTTGCGCCGTAGTTCCTTCGGCTGCCACTTGGGGCTGCAGGTGGGGGAAAAATCTCGACTTTTGCTTTGCGATTATGCAGCGGAATCGCGACATTTTTAATGAAGGAGTTATTTTCTCTATCCCCCGGGACACGATAAACAAGGTAAAAATGACGAGATGCAAATTCTTTTAATCGTAAAATCGTTGTACCAGCCGGGGTCACACTGCTTATACATTATACACAAGACAGTCTGCAGATACCAGTCACCACGATATCCATGGTTCAAATGCCGCGTGCCAAGTGTCTCCTTAAACTCGTTGCCTTGCGGCATTCGGAGCTCAGATCTCATGATGACTCGAGTTTGAATCTGCTTGCAGACTGTCTCAATGATTTCGCCATTTTCGTGTTTATAAACTTCGCCATAATTGTAGGCACCGATTGAATAGGTGGGGGCGTTACCTTGTAAACATCATGAGACACCATGTCAAGTGAAATTTCGACGTCAAAAGACATTGTGAAGTCACGTGACTCTGACGTTACGATGTCAAGTGCCAACATGGAGAGACCATAGCAGTTATCCCTGTAAAAATGCACAACACGTCAAATTAGCTTTGTAGAAAACTTTTTAGGAGGATCAAGGAAAAGCGGTTCGGCAAGTCTCAACAAAACAACCTTTCTCCCCCCCCCCCCCCCCCCCCCCCCCCTTCCCCCCCTATCGGCAGATCTTCTTCCTCTACCTATCGCGACTGCACTGCGTCCGCAAAGAAACATATATGGCTAGCGCGTGTGTTTATAGTTTTAAAACATACCTTGGCCTTCAATCCGTGTCCAGAAGTTGCCGAAAACAAAACAAACCGGGGAGCCCGGGTGAACGCAAGATGAACCACAACGCCGCTACTGACATCACTCACCCGGGATGCCTGCGACTAAAAGTGTGCACGGGCCGATATTTCGAAGCCCGCCCCAGCCTGGCCCGTTGTCTATTGGGCCCGAACTTGACCGCGGCCCGCTATCTATTTCCGACAGCCGGCCCGGCCTGACCCGAAGCTAATTTTCACGGACCAGCTGCGCTTTATTTTAGCGCAGTATGAATAGCTAACAAATTAAGCGGCATGGCAGCTCGCTTGCAACTGATACACATAAGTTTATTACGATATCCAATAGTAAATACTGTAAGCATTTCTTTCTTGCTGCTATTATTAGTTGGACCAATATGCAGGCCTACTACCTGGGCAGCTTGTTAAGAAAAATCACCCGATCTTCCTTTTCTGTGACCAAGCACGCGCGGAAAGGACGGGAAAACAAAAATGACAAGCAGAAGTAAACAGAACCCTTGTCACAGTTGGAAAGGAAGGGAAACATCGCGACGGATTCGGACAAAAGAAGGGCAAAGTTCTAAATTAGCCACTCTCGCTGCGCACTCCCTTAAAAAAAAAAAAAAAAAAAAGAAAAACCAGCAATGTCGTACGTCGTTTTTTTGCGGGGGTCTGCGAGAAATCGTTCAGGAAAGGTACCCCTCAGGAGAACCTCGTGCGTACAGATGGTTTACGCCGGCGAGGGTACGTATTGTATAGGCGCGTGTAGTACGTCCGTGTTTGTGGTGAGAAGCGATTATATAATGGGACGCGCCGCTGGGGACGAAAAGGAACGCCGCGCCTTTAGTCCTCTGGAAGAGCATTCGCTACACACTCCGAACCATACAAAAACATACACGCACACACACATGCTTGAGCATCTGCTTATCCCACACTGTGGTTCCTCTCCCAGCCCCGGAACACGCTTCTAAAAAACATTCCGCTAAAAAAAAAAAAAAAAAAAAAAAAGTAATGGCCGGTTTGGCCTGTTTTTTAGACTTGGATGCAAGGCCCGTACCCGGCCCGGGCCCTTCATGAATGTAGCCGTGAAGCCCGAGCCCGGCCCGAGGGCCGGGCCGGCCAGTGGCCTGCGGTCTGGCCCGTGCAGATCTCTACCTGCGACGCTGACGGCTCGCCCTTCTGTTATGACTCAGAGCAGTTTATTCAGAGAGTTTGGCCATACATTGGTTTGAAGAGGCGAGCATCTCGGGGCCAACCAGGGGCCGCGAAACAGCCCCTAGCGGTGGTCGTGTGCTCTAAATATGTGACACGACTAATTTGAGCCGTTTTAGCGTCGATAGAGTGAAAACGCTGCTCTCGGTGACTGAAAACTTTGTGCATGTGAGGTTTTAGTCACAACGTGCGCTATAAACCAGGGCCGACTTGCTAGAAACAGCGTCTCAGCTGAGACGGGGAAAGAAAGCACTGCCAAAGCCAGCGCACGAGCCGAGCGGGACTCCGCGTCTCAAGACGCTCTCGCGCGCCCCACTCTTTGCACTGTTTTCTTTCAGCCCGTCTCAGGACGCTCTTCTAGCAAGCAGTGCAGACAAAGACATGGGCACGAGCGCGTGGCTTTGGAAAGTGCCTTCTATGTACGAGTTCTCGTACAAACAAAAGCGTTTTGCTGAGCTAGGCTCACGCGCATGTGCCTTTGTCTTCACTGCAGACATTTGTGAGATGGAGTAGAGAGGCCGAGATTGAACGCGTTTGCAATACTGACGTCGCGGTGTCCTGATCAGGGTTGCCGGGTAGTTTCCAGCTCAAAATGCCAAATGCCAGAGGGTGCAGCCCAAAAGTAGCCAAATGCAAGATATTTATGTATCCCAAAAGTAGCCATATTCTGCAGAGCCCAAAAAATCGTGCGCTCGAGTGTGCGAGCTCAATTCAATGGTCCTGCGTCTGCATACTAGGGTTTAAATGCTGCTTGCAAGATCTACGACATCTTAAAATGTATTGAACGTTTTATGTGAAACACAAAAGTACAAATCTTTTTCACAGGCGCTTTTATAGTCACATAGTTGTGAAGCACTCGCTCACGCCCGGCTTACTCACCTCATACATGAATTTCGCGTTAAAACGGGCAACAGCTCCAATAGGGTTCATGTCCTTACAGCACTCGTTCTTCCCAAGGAATGCAAACTTAACATAGAGGACGTTTTGAAGACTTGGAAGGGACATGTTCTTTGTTAGGCCTGACTTTGTAAGGGACACGTGACTGAATACTCTCCCCAGGACGGCATTCGGCATTGACAATGTCGGGACCGCGATGGCAAGCTCGGATAGCAACAAAAACAGGGCTGCTGCTCATCGATCTTGGCCATATTGGGTATATTTATTGTCCCAAATCCATCGTCTTTTGTTATTGCTCATTATGCTTTAAGAAACTTCCATGTTTCACGGAAGTGCTTCCTTTGTTAAATCCGTAGAGCACGCGTTATCGGGCGACATCATATTCTGCAGGATGTCTTGAGCTGCCTTTAGTACCATTTTTTCTCGGATGAGGTGCCTCCTGTAGGAGGATGGTGGGAAACTCGAGGAAATAAGAGACGCCAGTAGAAAGCAGAAAGAACTTGGGAGCATAAAATAAGCCACAATACAAAAGCGATATCGTCGGAGTTGAATCTCGGTCACGGTAGCTCACTTTAGCTAAAAGGTTCTGGCATCACGCCCACGAATCTTCACGCAGAAAATTCCTGAAGGCAGGAATCCAGAAAGGGTGAACTGTCGCTTTGTGTCTACACTGAAGTTTCTTTTGTACATTTACTCTAAACCAAGCAAAGAAAAAAAAAAAACTTGTTGCGTTAAGATTTGAAATAGCCCAAAAATAGCCATATAGCCAACCACCACATTTCGACGCCAAATTTATGACGAAGTAGCCCAATTTGGCTATTAATAGCCCAACCTGGCAACCCTGGCCCTGATTGGTCGACGCTGTGTCTCAAATTCAGTTTACGCTCTAAACGCGTGAGGAACATTCGGCGCTGGCGCCTTTGCTCCGCCTATTGGCCAAACTCTTTATGACTGGGCAGACAGCGCCGCCTCGC